GCATAGGTAAGCTTGGGAAGTATGAATGTTGAGTAAACACTGAGGAGCTCAGGCGCAGGAACTCTGGGGGACTTGGGTCGGCGGAGGTGGAGAAAGAAACTGGAGGATTTGACAACTTCACTGACTTGTGTTTTCCAATTTAGATTGTTATCAATAGTGACGCCGAGGAGCTTAGTGGAGTCTACAACCTGGGGTGTGTTGGGGCCTAAAGGAATGGAATGGGTTGGGACAACGTCGGAGGAGAGGTTGATGTGCATAACCATGGTTTTGGTGTGGTTGATGGTGACGTGGGTGTTGGTGGCCCAATTTTGGAGACTGTGTGTGTGTGTGCGTCCGCCTTTTATGCCGACCTTGACAGAGTGCTAACCTCTATCCCCAGAGAAGATAAGGTTGTGCTCCTTGGTGACTTCAATGCCAGAGTTGGCAAAGATGCTAACATTTGGCAGGAAATCATAGGGAGAAATGGACTAGGCAAGTGTAATCCCAAAGGCCTACTCATCCTCAGCAAGTGTGCTGCACACAACCTCACTATCACCAATACCTTGTTTAGGCAGGCCGACAAATTCCAGGGTTCGTGACAACACCCTTGATCCAAATATTGGCATCTCATTGACTACATCATTGTCAGAGAAAGGGATTGCCGAAATGTCGTCATCACCCGAGCAATGCGTGGCTCAGACCACTGCAACACTGATTATCGGCTCATTAGAGTCAAATTCTCACTCCAGGTCGCCCCAAAACGGCGAAGGCAACAAGTCGCCAGATGAGGTTTTAACACTAAGCGTCTGGAGCATCCAGCAGTAGCACATGCGCTGATAAACAACCTGACAACAAACAACCCAAATCCCACTGCCGAACGGGCTATTCTCGACGCTGTCATGACAAAAACCTGCAGAGAGACTCTCGGCCAGACCGAAGGAATACACCAGGACTGGTTTGATGAAAATGACCCGGAAATCAACTGACTCGTCGATGATAAACGTGCTGCTTTAACTGACTGGCAGAACAACCCACAGTTCTCAGACCAAAGCTGATACCTTCCGTAAGAAGAAAGCGGTGGCCCAAGGCGAACTTCGCAAACTAAAGAACGACTGGTTTAAAAATAGAGCATGTGAAACGCTAAGACTTGCATATGAACACAAGATGCACGAATCTTTCAGTTCCACTAAAACATTTTATGGGCCAATCACTCATGGCACAACCCCCTCCGCTCATGCGATAGTAACTCCCTAATTAAAGACGAAGGAGACGTCCTTCAGCGCTGGAAAGAGCACTACCATTCGCTGCTCAACCGAAACACTGAAGTGGATGTGTTGACTACCCAGCAGGTCACTCCGCATCCAGATATGACCCATCTTAGCTGTCCTCCATCAGTGGATGAGGTAGGTACTGCCATCAAAGAGATGAAAAATTACAAACCATCAGGGCATGATGGAATTCCCTCTTAGGTGGATAAAGCAGGAGGACCTCTGCTTATTAGTCGTTTCCACTCTCTCCTGAAGAATATGAGGGAAAAGGAGGAAATCCCTCAAGCCCTTGAAGATGCCTTCATCGTCAATATTTATAAGAACAAGGGAGACCGGTCAGACTGTGGCAACTACAGAGAGATCTCGCTGCAATCCATAGCTGGCAAGATTATCGCCCGATATCTTCCTAAACAGGCTAGTTCCTGATGCGGAACACTTCTTCCCAAAATCTCAATGTGGCATTAGACCATCACGTGGCACCACTGACATGATCTTTGCTGTCCACCAGATACAGGAAAAGTGAAGACAACATTATCGTGACCTGTACATGGCCTTCATCGACCTAACCAAGGGCTTCGACTCGGTCAACAGGGAAGCCTTCTGGGGGAACCTCAGCCGTTTTGGCTGCCCACCAAAATTCATTGCCATTGTGAGGTAACTCCATGATGGCATGAACAGCAGTGTCCTTCACAATGGTACCAAGTATGAGTTCTTTCCCATCCAAATAGGGGTTAAACAAGGGTGTGTATTGACACCAACTCTCTTTTTCATTTTCTTGGCCGCCTTCCTTACTCGTGCCAGTGCCAATTTAGCCGGCGGGGTGGACATCGAGTGCCGAGTGAAGGAGGATCTTTTCAACATAAGACGACTCCAGGCAAGAACAAAGGTGTCAGCATCTTCCATTACTGAACTTCAGTATGCAGAAGACTTCACCCTTGTTGCTCACACTGAACGCAACCTACAGGAGATCCTGAACACCTATGCAGATGCGTATGAACTTCGGCCATGAGGTGAAGGTACATAAGACTCTGATTCTCTTTCAGCATGCCCCTGGTTTAGCCACACCTCCGCCATCCACCCAGCTTAACGATACTACTTTCTCTAATGTTACCCACTTTCAATATCTCGGCGCCCACCTGTCCACCACCACGGACATCGATGAAGAGATTAAACATCGGATCAGATGTGCATCTCAAGCCTTTGGCAGACTCCATAACCGTGTCTTCAGCTGTAGTGACTGAAACTATCTATAAAGTTACAGGCATAGCGAGCAGTGGCTCTCCCCACCCTGCAATATGGCAGTGAGACATGTGTCACATATAGGAGGCAACTCAAGGCACTTGAAAACTTTCACCAAAGTAGTCTACGCTCATCCTCCGAGTTCGCTGGGATGACAGGAGAACAAATGCCAGTATTCTCGCTGACACCAACTGTATGAGTATCCAGGCTACTATTATCTACGAACAACTACGTTGGTCTGGCCATGTTACCCGCATGGGCGACAGTAGACTGCCAAAGCAGCTACTTTACAGTCACCTATCGAATAGTAAACGTAACACCGGAGGGCAACTGAAAAGGTATAAGGATCGTCTTAAGACAAACCTGAAAAAGTGCCAAATCGACCCCCCTTACCTAGGAGACGATTGCTCCACACCATAACAGTTGGGGGAGCACCACACAAGAAGGTGTCAATACTTTCGAATTAGCCCGACTGCAAACTGAGGCAGACGAGCGCCAACGCTGGAAAACGCTTGCGCCGCCCCTCCCGCATTAGATGTGGCCATCCACATCTGCAACACCTGTGAACGACCCTGCTGGTCACCTTAAAATTCGCCAACGAAGGTGAAATCCTTAATAACTCATATCATTGTCTCATAGCTGGATGATCGTCATACTCGATTCTGAGTGGCAGGAAAGTAGTAGTGGTAGAGTGTATGTAATAATAATAATATTAATAGTAATTAACGGTTTATTAAGCAGTCACGAGGCTGAAAATATATAATAAACAGAGATGATAAGTTACATAGGGTGAAATTGGGAAGTGGCTTACTTGATTGACGAAAGCTTTCAGTAAAAATAGATTAGAAACATGGAGTCAACATAGTTATTAACTATTGATCCGGTACTGAGGGAGATGGTGTTTGTAAACAGTCTTGTGACCTGATATTGGCGACAATACAGTCCGTCTCACGGCTTGGATGGTTGTCGTACCTAGATGTTAAGTGCCGCTCCCTCACTGCTGCTGCAGATGTTAAGCACATCCACCACGTGATCCGGGTAGATCCTTTAGCTCACATAGGGTGTTGGAGATGGTTCTTGGTCCCCATGTGATGTAGTTAGGAATTATTAATTCTTCACCTGGTGGAGTAAGGAGTCCTCATTTCTTTCAAGATGTAGTTTGGAGCCTTTCTTGGCTTCTCATCCAGCGTTGGTGGTGGTGGGTGTACAGCGGAACCTGGGTGTGTCAAGTCTGCGTCAGGTCACCATTGACCTCTGAGCATTGATTGTCACTCTCTGACAGTTGTTTAATTTTTTCGAGTTGAATTTGTCACTTTTGTATAGTAGATGTGGGTTGATCGTCAATCGTCGCACTGTATTGTTGGTGGGAGGATGTTGATAAATCCGGATGAGATAAGGGGAGGCCCGACAGACCAGGCTGGCAGCTGCCTCCATGGCGTAAAAGACCACGGCCTCCTTAGCAGATCAGCGCCAAGTACCTCCTCACTCCATAAGGACTGAAGATGGAGTGTAATAATAATAATAATAATAATAATTAACGGTTTATTAAGGCGCCAGAGGCTGAAAATTACAGTTAATTTGAATGTTACAAAATATAAAACATAAACACAAAGACATATAATAACAGAGGATCAGCAAACCATTCATTTCAAATATGACAAAGGCAGTTTACCGAAAAGATTATACAGGGCTGATCTTCAATGACAGGACGGTGGTAGTAGGTGCGTGTGTGTGTGTGTGTGTGTGTGTGTGTGTGTGGAGGAATCCGCACCTTTAACTAAATCGATGGCGAGGAACATTGTGTTTAAACGTTATGTTGAAGATGGAAGGACGATAATAACATTCTTCGTTCGAGGATCGTACCTGTGTACATTAGAAGGTGTGCACATCAAAGGGTGTGTTCATCAGAGGGTGTGTACATCAGAGGGTGTACATCAGAGGGTGTGCACATTAAGTGTGTACATTAGATTGTGTACATTCGAAGGTGTATTGATTAAAGGGAGTACAGTACATATTAGCAAATGTATCAGGTGCACTGACTTGAAGGTGGTTAAATTAAGTGTACTGATTGGAAGGTGTGTTGATTAAGTGTCATAATTATTAATGGGGAAGTACATTATTTAGGAAGGGTCTGGATTAGGTGTAATGAATAGAAGGTGTTCTATGTAGTGATCTGATTAGGTGGTCTAATTGGAAGGTGTACTGATTAAATGATTTCATAAGAAGGTGTACAGAATGTTTTAGTTCAGTTAGGTTAGATTCTAGTTAGGTTCGGGTTTTGGTTAGGCTAAGTTAGAATAGGTTAGGTTAGGCCAGCTCTTGGTTAGATTAAGTTAGATTAGGTAAGGTTAGTTCAGATCTTGGTTAAAATAGGTTAGATGAGGTTTTGGATTGGCTAAGTGTTGATAAGGTCACATTTTGGTTAGGTTCCAGTTAGAGAATAGTGAGTCTCTCTCTCTCTCTCTCTCTCTCTCTCTCTCTCTCTCTCTCTCTCTCTCTCTCTCTCTCTCTTACCAGCGGGGAAGACGTGGAATACGCAAGGGCGCCGCTGGAGACCTACAGCGTTAGTACCCCAGCAGAGTAGAGTGCCGTAGTCCAGCTCTGTGTTGGGAGTGTAGCTGACGGTAGATTCAGAGGGCTTCACGTGGATGTGCTCCTGTGAGATAGAAAGAGATAGTGATAACGAGATAAAGAGATACATTATTAGATAGGATAGTGAGATATATACACTGATTGAGAGAGAGAGATAGAGAGAGAGAGAGAGAGAGAGAGAGAGAGAGAGAGAGAGAGAGAGAGAGAGAGAGAGAGAGAGACTCACCTGGGGAATATCCACACTCTCGCCGCTGTTATTGAAGGTCCATCGGAAAGACACAGGCTTTGGATGGGCGTCCAGGTGGCAGGGAATGTTTACCTGTTCGTACCTGGCGGCCCCATGGTAAGTCATTTGGGGGTTACGACATACAGGTGCATCTGTGGAGAAGAGGAGAGGTGAGTGTTATGAGAGGAATAGAAGAGAGAGAGAGAGAGAGAGAGAGAGAGAGAGAGAGAGAGAGAGAGAGAGAGAGAGAGAGAGAGAGAGAGTTAAGAAGTAACGCAATTTACGAGTAAATAAACCGGAATATCACGTAACTTTTAACTAAATAAAAAAATACCTAAAAATAACTAAACCAAAAAGTAAGTGAATAAAAAGTTAACTAACCCCCCAAAATAACCAAACCAAATTTAACTTAACCAAAAAGTATTTTAACAATATCTAAACCAAAGAGTAACTTAACCCAAAAAGTATTTTAATTAACCTGACCTCTCTTGGCCATCTTTCACAACACGTGGTGCCAACTAAGAGTACAGTAGTGGTTCTTGTTCTTGAAGAGCTGAACGAAAGTTAAATGAACTGGGGTGAGGAGCTGTGTTAACGTGACCTCAGACGGGTGACCAATACGTGAAGATTTATTACCCCAGCTTCTTGCACTTTAAATTTAACTAACCTAACCTAACCTAACCTAACCTATCCTGCATTATTTATTTTTTTAGTATCATTTGTTTTTGGTGAATTGACTCGCCTCTTAACGTTTGCCGACCCCTAAATGTGGAGCCCCTTGTCGACCCAACTGCAGAATGGGCTACCTACCCTGTATAGCTGTACCGTTGCTAAGTACCGTCCATTACAGGCCATCTTCCTTCAGCAGAAAACTTCTCTCCCCTCCAAAAGAATATTCGCTTTTTCCAGGTAAAACGCAGCTCCATGATTGCGACTTCCTTACTGCAAATCTCTGTGATGACGGCAAATTACTGCAACATCACAGTGCCATCGTGTGCAACTCTATAATCATGGCGGAATTTCAAGCACTCTATATTCCCAATCCCACCAAGGATGTCAAGGGGTGGCAGTGAGTGGGAGGGAGAGAGGGAGGGAGAGGTACGCAGACACGCCTCATCACCACATACTGATACTGCATTTCATGAGTTAAATTTCTGGGGAGAAATATGTAGATGGACTAGAAATTAATGTTGAAATAAACATATTTTAACGTGTAGGATGAGAGAGAGAGAGAGAGAGAGAGAGAGAGAGAGAGAGAGAGAGAGAGAGAGAGAGAGAGACCTGAGGAATAACCACATTATCGCCGCAACAAGCACTGAGAATATCATTCAACTTATCATTCTGCGTGAGTGTGATGTGTGGACGTTATTGAGAGGTTGTAGTGACCGGGTAAAGACACCCACAACTAAACAATTAGCTAACGAGTGAGAACTATTTTATCAAACAATAATAACAGTAGTTTGACGCTATCGTTTGATCGTCAGCAACTTGTGAGATTAACGAAGAGAAACAGTCATGCAAGGATAAAAAATTAAACACATCAGAAAATCGATAAACAAGTTAATAAATACCTAAATGAATAGCTTAAAGAACTGAATAATAAATGAATAACTTTATATACTGTATATGTATATGCATGTAAATGAATCATTCCAATGGCTTTGTAAGGCGCCATCTGTGTACAGAACTTCATCGACTAAAGTAATGTTACCATGACTGTATTTTTTTTGTTCGGGGATTAGCCCACCCGGGCACAGGTCATTGACCCACAATGGGACCTAGGGGGCGAACAAATAAGAGTAAAAATAAAATAAAAATAGAAAAGAAAAATGTAATAATCTCCACCACAAGATGCCGGAAAACCAGCTTTTTGAAGTGAGACATTGTAAGAGAATGGAATCACAAAAGAAGACAGAGCATTCCACAGTTTGGCTGTGTGACCGACATCCACACAGAATCGGTGGGCACCGCGGCAAAACGAGTATTACGAGCCCACTGACTTGCCGGCGGTAAAAAGGATGTCAAATCCACCGAACATTGCCCGTTAAAGTATCTGTAAAAGAGAGAGAGTGAAGCAACATCGCGGCGAAGATAAAGGGAAGAGAGATTATCAACTAAAGGAGGAGAGTTAATAAGAGGAAACGCCTTTGATTCCACCCCATCTAACAGTTGGACGGAAGAAGAGCCACCCCAGATATGACAGCAGTACTCCAAGTTAGGACTTGAAGCAGCTGCTCAGGAGTGAAATCGCTACGGGAACTGTACAGCATTCCCAGCTTTCGGGAGGCTGCTTTAGCAATATTGTGGATGTGTGGCTTCCATGACATATAAGAAGAAATGGTGAGGTCTAGCATAGCTATTTCAGAATTTGGCAGAATGATTGCGTCCTGAAATGTGATTGGTGGGAGATCATCTATTTTGGAAAGTGTAATTGGTAAATATTGTGTGTTCTTACAATTGAATTTTACCAAATTTCTACCTCCCCATTCGGAGATGATGCACAGATCCGCATTGATAGATGAAATAATATCAGCTCTGGAAACAGATTTAGTTTGAGAGTTAGGGGGAAGGAAAAAATAAGAAGAGTGAAGAGTAGAATCATCAACTTAAGAATGGATAGAATTAGTAGTAGTGAAATAAATCATTGATAAAACGAAGGAAGAGAGTAGGTGAAAGAACAAAACCCTGGGGAGCACCACTATTGGTAGAGAAAGAGGGAGAGATCAATCCCTGGACAACAACTGTTAGAAATTAGAGAACAAAGTGGGGGAGAGAAACCATTAAAGGGCAGTTTAGAAAGCAAAGACTTGTGCTTTGGAGATGTCAAGGGCCACGACAAGAGTTTCCCCATAATCCCTAAGAGAGGATAACCAAAGATGGGGTGCAATAAGGGAGCAGATCACCAGTAGTTCTCGCCTGGCGAAAGCCATACTGGTGATCCGACAAAAGAGAAAGGCATTCAAGGTGACAGAGAAAATTAGACTTTAAGAGAGTTTCGAGAATTTTAGAGAGGGATGAAGTTAGGCCAATGGGCTGAACCGAGGTATATTCCAAGAAGAAGGAAAAGTTTGGGTTTTGAGGCAAAGGCGAAAGAGGCGAGCAAACACAGGGGCCAGGGCTTCAGTACACTCCCTCAGAACACGAGGGGGTATTCCATCTGATCCATGCGCCTTACTCACATCCAAATTGGATAATACACCAGCAACCCTACGAGTGGAGATTATAGGAAGAGCAGTAGGGAGAGCAGGAGTAGGAGGGGTAGAGTTTGAATCATCTAAGGTGAAGTTAGGGGAGAATAAGGTGCCAAAGAGATTGACTTTATTAGAGGGAGAGTTGGCTATAGAGTTATCAGGTCGGAAAAGAGGAGGGAAAGAGGGAGTGCAGAAGTTATTATAGATGTTTTTGATTAAGGATCAGAAGGATTTATTAGAAGAAGAGTAAGTCAGCGGTCTTTCTTTTTATAAAATTCCGCTTGGACCAACAGCGATTCCTAGAAGTATTGAAAGAGGTGTGGGTAATAGGAGGAGATATTTTTATAACTTGATACGCCCTATCTCTCTCTCCACATGCAAGAGAACAGGAGCGATCAAACCATGATTGCAAAGTGAAATTTTTGGTAAAAGATGTAATAAATGCACTCATATCACTTGGTATAACCCAAGCGATGCTGTCAGCACATACCGAGGCGTCCCGAGTGGGAAAGCAACATTTATCACAGGGAAAGTCGGAGAAGAATTCTCGCAAGAAGTGCCAGTTTGCCCTCCGATAGTACCATAGTTGCTTAGAGGGGGTGGGGGAGGTGATCGTGCCCAGTTTGATTTAAAAGAAATAAGATTGCGATCAGAAGACCCTAAGGGGGCCGAAATTGAGTATGAATAGTATGAGGGGTTAGAGGTAAAACGAAGATCAAGAATGTTAGTAAGTTGATCGTATAAAAGTGGAACGCGTGTAGGGTGTTTAATTATTTGTTCCAGATCATTAAGTAAGGAAAAAGAGAGTGCCTCAACTCCACGTGGGTCATCCCTTGCAGAGCCAAGCCACTCTCTGTGATGTACTGTTCATTGAAAACCCCTAGGTAGATGATGTCGGTGTTGGGGTGTGTGGATAGCACGACTCATGGCAAGAAGTGAGATCGTCAAAGAGTTCCAAATAGTTGGTAGAGTTGGGAGAACAGTATAGGAAACAAAGATAAATATAGTTGGTAAGGATATTTTGAGCCAGATGACAGCATAAAGAAAAGATTGAAGATCCGTGAGTCGAGTTACTGTATATGTATGTGTACATGCGTTGCAGTAGGCGCATACATCTCCCTTAGAATGGAAAGAGGAATAAAGGTTGTAGACTGAAAATTGACCTTGAAAGCATAGGCAACTTCAGCTACCGATAATTAATCGACCTTGAAATCATAGACAACATCATCTACCTATTATAGTCGACCTTGAAATTATAGACAACTTAAACTATCGATAATTCGACCTTGAAATCTTAGACATCTTCAGCTATCGATAAATCGACCTTGAAATTATAGACAACTTCATTTACCTATAATCGACTTTGAAATCATAGAAAATCTTCAACTACCGATAATTAAATCGACCTTGAAATCATAGAATACTTCAGCTACCGAAAATCAACCTTGAAATAATAGACAAATTCATCTACTTATAATCGACTTTAAAATCATAGACAACTTCAACTACCGATAATCGACCTTGAAATCATAGACAACTTCAGCTGCAATAATCAACCTCAAACAAAGAGACAAGCTTCAACTCACACTTGACTCTGAGTAGTATGGGGTTGGACTGGCCGTCACCCTCGATGTTGGAGGCGACGCAGAAGTAGTTGCCTGAGGCGGTCCTGTCCACACGCTGCAGCACGAGGCTCTGGTTACTGATGATTACACCTGCTGTCACGTTGTGTTGAAGTTCAGTCCCCTGTGGGTGTACCGGAGGCTGGGTTAGTGGGTCTTGTCGGGGTGTAGTGTTCCAAGGATGTAATATGCCAGGGTGTAATAATAATAATAATAATTAACGGTTTATTGAAAGAGCTTGGCAGCCAGAAGGCTGAAAATATGCAGTTGCATATTTGGGGAATGGGTTTCGAATTACAAATAATATACAAGTAACATAAGTGATACAAATAAAATATATAATAACTAGATGGGGAAAAGCTCAAACTACAGTTCATTTCAACATAGTGACAGTGCAAGGAGTAGTGTTTACTGGGAGTGAATACACTGGTTTATTACAAGTTATTGATAATTTTTACAATGGTTGGGACTGGGCTGTTCTTATAGCGATCAGTTCGTGCACGTATGGGCTGGATGCGGTTGTGGTGTCGAACAGCAATTCTCGGGCTAGGGATCTCAGGTGGTAGTAGGAGCCGGTGTCGAGGATGGTGTAGAAGCTTCTTACCAAATTTGCAGATGAGGTCGTGGTGATGGTCAGTGAGAGTCGAAAGGGTCAGTGTGTTGAGCGCTTCTTGATATGTGGAGTAGGGGAGAGAATAATCTTGCATGCCCTCTTTTGCACTTTTTCTAGGTGTTTACGTTGTGTGGCAATTAGGGGAGGAAGACCAGGTGGGGAGGCATAGGTGAGCTTGGGAAGTATGAATGTTGTGTAAACACTTGAGGAGCTCGGGTGCAGGAACTCCGAGGACTTGAGTCGGCGGAGGAGGTGGAGACGGAAACTGGAGGATTTGACAACTTCACTGACGTGTGATTTCCAATTTAGTTTGTTGTCTATGGTGACGCCGAGGAGCTTCGTGGAATCTACAACCTGGAGTGTGTTCGGACCTAGAGTAATGGAAGGAGGTGGGACAATGTCGGAGGAGAGGTTGATGTGCATAACCATGGTCTTGGTATGGTTGATGGTGACATGGTTGTTGGTGGCCCAGTTTTGGAGACTGTTCAATAAATCCTGAAGGGCGGTATAGTTAGGAGCAGAATTGCTGACGCTGATCCCAATGGTAGAGTCTGAATTTATTTCAAAGCAGCAGTTTCTCTTAGGGCATCATTGATGAGCATAAGGAAGCAGAGTGGTCCCATCTTGGTGCCTTGGGGACGCCACAGTGAGTGACTGAAAGGTGGAGACAGCCCCTCGGAAGCGTACAGCTTGGCGTCGGTCACTGAGGAAGTCTGTAAGCCATGGTATAAGACTTCTCCGAAGCCCGAGGTCAATAGCTTTGTTGATGATTATATTGTGGTCGACTAGGTCGAATGCTTTAGTGAAATCAATGAAGGCGACAGCTACAGACGTTTTTCGTTTCTCGAGATGGCGGTATATGTAATCGAGAAAGCTGACAAGACAGTGAGTGGTGGAGGAAGTTTTCATGTTGCCAAATTGCTGAGGGTCTACGACTCCTGCAATATCAGCATAAGCCCAGTCGAACACAAAACTTTCACAGATTATGCTGGGTATTGGAGTGATTGCAATAGGTCGTAGTTGATTTAAGGATGGTGGGCTGGTTGACTTGGGCACTGGTGATACATAAGAGGTCTTCCAGTCAGTTAGGCATCTGGCTTGACTGAGAGAAGCATTGATGATGGAGCATAGGGGTTTAGCAAGCTCCGGGGAGAACTCCTTGAAGAGTTTCATTGGTAAGTCAATGGGGGTGGTAGAGCGTATTAATTTTAGTTTGTCCAGGCGTTTTGCTACTTCAAATTCTTCTACTAAGTCAGTGGGAAGGGGGCTAGTAGGTAAGCAGGAAGAGTGGTTGTGTCAAGCCGGGGGAGCGTCTGGCATATAGTAGCGAAATGGTTATTTGTTTGCTCAGCTGCGTCAACATCAGTGAGATGGCTAAGGAAGGGGAGGGGGTGTGTCTTATTGTTTAGTCCACAGAGTTCTTTAAGCTTTCCATACCATTGACTGATGTTGGTCTGCTTCAGGTGTTGTAATTTGGTTGGGTAGTGGGACTTCCTTGTAATGCGTATTTCGCGGATGACTCGGTTGCGAAGGGACCTGTAGCGGATGTGGTTATTGAGATGAAAGGCTCTGTCTCTCTGTTGCATAAGTCTTTTGATCCGAGGTGTGATCCAGGGCAAGTCAGCTGGGTGAGATCTGACGGACTTCTCGGGAAGAAGTGGTGGTGAGCTTCCGTGGTAGTGTTGGTATAATTTATCCATTTGGTTTCCACGTCATCCACGCTAAGTACTTCAGTCCAGGGATGGTGGTATCTTCGGTAGCACTGCTGGAGTCAATGTGATAGCCCTGTAAGATCTGATCAGAATCTCTGTGCTTGAATTATAAGTGTGGCACCAGGGACCAGAGCACTTTGAAATGAAAGTGTGTGTGCCTACTTGCGGTACTGAGGCATTGGTTGAGGTGGTTGGTACTGGTCTTTTAAATTAATTCATGGTCAAAGAATATTTTGACGCATGTGTAGAGGAAAATTCCCCTTACGTCTAAAGTAGCTGAATCTGGATATCAGCGTGTCAATTTCATTAAAATCTATAATATGGCTGGGTACCTGTCTGGGGTGGTCTGGGGTGGTGGGTGAGCGAGGCCGGATGAGGCACCACCTGATTATGATCGGGAAGCAATGTTGCGGGTGGGCCATGCTTTGCACAGCCCTGTCTTCCCACATCTGCTGGGACTTGGACATCCAGGCGTGACAGGCGTAGAGTCATCTTCCAGCTGAGGGGCAGCGCGCCCCCTCCAGCGTCTATGTGAACGAAGGTGATGAAAGAGTTGATATCCCTCAATATGACACGTTCCCAGGCTTTGTTGCCAGCCTCATATAACCTTGACGCTTTCGCGGCTGCTGACCTGACTCTAGTTGCCAGCTCGTCGAACTTGTTAGCTAGGGAAGTGACATTGGATACTTAAGCGGGAGATCTTACCATATCAGTGGAACTTCCAGTACTGTGAGTGGTACGGTCTGTCAGGGGTGGGTTTCTCCGGTTTCCTAGTGGAGATTCTGGTTCTATTGACATATTATTGTAACGGCCTTGTCGGCTAACGCGTGTGATCTGTTGATGACTTGGTCGGCGCTATGACACTGCCGGCATCAGGATAACCGTTCCACGCTTTAGATGGTACAGAGTGCGTCGGGAGTAAGTGATTAATTTAGCCATCTGTTATTCTCTGTTGTGGAAGTGAGATGAAGTGTTTGTTACTGGCAGCATAGGAGACCACTGAAACACTGGTCAGACATCTATTGTATTTGCCGATCGAAAAGGGCCGTGGTCTTTTGTCCTGGTATCATGGGGTGCAAACCCACAGTTTTCACGATATATGTAAACTTGTGGTGGTCCTTGTCAGCACTTTTAAAGGTAGGCCGATAATTTACCTATCTGATGACTTTTCCTTGGGGTGCACTATCGGAGCACTGTATGATAATCACTTATTGCACTGATGACTTGAATGTTTTGCTGAGAAAGTCCCGGTCAGGTTAGGTCGGGTCCAGTCACACTGCTGTGCTTTTGTGCTTTTCCTTAAGTGCACTATAGAATACTGCTCGGTAATCAATCGTTCACTAATCACTAGAATGTTTTGCTGAATAGATCCCGGTGTAGTAAGGCTGGTAGGGCATTGGGGTATAGCAGGGGGAGTGGCAGGGCCAAACAGACTCGGCCTGGCTGCTAAAACCGGGAGCGCCTTCGGGGCACGTCTTGTCTCACTGACGGTTGACAGTGTGTGTAGTGTATCATGCCATGGTGTAGTGTATCATGCCATGGTGTAGTGTATCATGCCAGGGTGCAGTGTATCATATCAGGGTGTAGTGTATAGTATCATTTCAGGGTGTAGTGTACCATGCCAGTTTGTAGTGTATCATGTCGGGGTGTAGTGTATCATGTCGGGGTGTAGTGTGTCATGCTAGGGAGAAGTATATGGTGTAGTGTATCATATCAGGTTTGTAGTGTATCATGTCAGGGTGTAGTGTATCATACCAGGGTGTTGTGTATCACGCCAGGGTGTAGTGTATTATGCCAGGGTGTAGTGTATGACGCCAGGTGTACCATATAGTATCATGTCAGGGTGCATGTATCATACCAAGGTTTTGTATATCATGTCAGGGTGTAGTGTATCATACCAAGGTTTAGTATATCATGTCAGGGTGTAGTGTATCATGTCAGGGTGTAGTGTATCATGTCAGGGTATAGTGTATCATACCAAGGTTCAGTATATCATGTCAGGGTGTAGTGTATCATACCAAGGTGTAGTATATCATGTCAGGGTGTAGTGTATCATACTAAGGTTTAGTATATCATGTTAGGGTGTAGTGTATCATACCAAGGTTTAGTATATCATGTCAGGGTGTAGTGTATCATACCAAGGTTTAGTATATCATGTCAGGGTGTAGTGTGTATCATACTAAGGTTTAGTATATCATGTTAGGGTGTAGTGTGTCATACCAAGGTGTAGTATATCATGTCAGGGTGTAGTGTATCATACTAAGGTTTAGTATATCATGTTAGGGTGTAGTGTATCATACCAAGGTTTAGTATATCATGTCAGGGTGTAGTGTATCATACCAAGGTTTAGTATCATGCACATAAGCCCATTAGAACCGTAACCTCCACTAGGAAACCGGAGAAACCCACCCCTGACAGACCATACCACCACACTGAAGTTCCACGGATATGGTATGATCTCCCGTCTTTACTGCTATCCAACGTCACTTCCCTAGCTAACAAGTTCGACGAGCTGGCAACTACAGTCAGGTCAACCGCCGCGAGCGTCGTTGCCATATGTGAGGCTTGGCAAATTGTACCTGAAACGTGTCATATTGAGGGATATCAACTCTTTCATCACCTTCGTTCACAAAGACGCGGAGGGGGCGTTGCCCTCTTCTGTCAAGATGACCTACGCCCGTCACGCCTGGATGTTCAAGTCCCAGCAGATGTGGAAGCATTATGGGTACGTGTCGTGCTACGGGCCCACCCACGCAACACTGCTTCCATTATAATCTGTGTGGCATACCATCCGCCTCG